GTGCTCTCAAGAAGAAGACACCACCAAAAAAGTTTGTCGCTCATCGGGGAGCGATTCCCCCCAGGCAAACTTAACCAGCTGGGTAGTGGGTAGTTGGTAGTAGGCAGTCAGCAGTTAGCGGTTAGCGGTTAGTGGTTCGGAGTTAGTAGTAATTAGTGAGTAGGAAGACGAGAGTAGCAAGTAGTGAGCCGTAAGTAGCAAGTAAAAATAGCAGGTAAGAAGTAAATAGAACTTCGCAAGCAGCAAGCAGCAAGCAGCAAGGAGAAGGCAGGAGATAAGCAAGAATCACCCGTTGGCTTTGCTTAGGTTATGACAGACCGGGTCGTGACCCTTGCGGTCGCTGGCGTTTGGACAAAGCCCGCAGCGAGTCCTTGCGGCCGTACCTGACCGGCCTCGGCATGCCGGGCTTCGTGGCGGGGCCTGGGGTCCCAGCGTGTGTGGAAATCATGGGAGGTGTGTGTTTCTGGTGGGATTTCCCGAGGGAAAAGCTGGGTTTAAGGGGAAAGAAGGACCACCCCGCATCTTTGGCGGCTTTTCTCGCTATTTTGACATAGCCGTAAGGGTATCCACTCACGAATGCCTTTGCGGCGCAAACAGCAAGTAGAATACTAGGGGACCAATAGGAAACTTGGTGTCCTCACCTGTCCTCACTTCGCACGGCTTTCAATGGGCAAACGCCTTGCGGTTCAACAATTTCTGTGCCAGTTGTGTTTGCGCATGTTTTTGTTTGCTTAGGATTGTGGACCGCATCCCTGTTGACTTGCAGATTGGTGGCTCGGCAGCATGTGTGTGTTTCAACAAAATGTGAGGATTCCAAAACTGGGTTGGCTGTGGCTCACCTTACTTAGAGTCAGGTCTTTTATGTGGTTTCCCTTTAAACCAACCTGACAGGGGTTTCTTAAAATAGCACGAACGCAAGGGCTAGCTGCTTCAACGTAAATAGTAAGGACCACTTGAGGTTTTATGGAGATTCCTTGAAGTTTTTGGGAAAGAGTTGGGTCTTCTTCAATGAGACGCTACAAGGGATCGCAAGGGATGTTTCTAGTGGTTGATTCTCCACCGTTCAACCACCAGCTGTTTCCCCCCAGACATTTTGATGGTTTCCAAGCTGAAAAGATTCGGATCCCTGGAATCGACATGGGGATTGCCGGGGGGGGGGGTCCGCAGGTTTTTTGGAGTTATTTTCCCAAACCCCAGGTGTTGTACCAGCAAATGGACGCTTCGCTTCCCCTGTGGCATGCAATTTGGGGCATGGAAAGGTTGGGCAGCTCGCAGCGAGCTCTGAGGCGTGCAGGACGGTGTGCTTACGGTTGCTGATACGCTGCTTGACTCGAGACCAGTTTTCACTCCCGAAAAGCTAGGAGTGAACTTCCGATCCTTCAAATTTTCTGAGAAGAAAATGTGTTAAAAAGTGCCTTTCCCTTGTTGGCTTTATCACTTGACAGAAAATTCGATTTTTGCGGGGGGGCAATATGCCGCAGTGGAAGACCCCCAGAAAGGCCAGCACTGCAGTTAGCGGGGTTCCAATTTGTTCCTGCAAGAATTGAGGACACGCGCAGCCAAAGTAAGTTAAGGAGTCACAAGGGGGACAGAAGGCCATGTCGGCCCTTCAAGACAAATTTGTTGCTTGTGTGTGTTTTTGAGTGTTCCCATTTCAGATTGGTTTGAAGGGAAGCCAAAAGGAACACCACCATTTGTTTTTATTCAGGTTTTGCTTTTCTGGGGGAATTGTGGTTTGTCCTTGACACAGACCAGTGTGCTTACTTCGGGTAAGCATATATTGACAGGGTTGTCAGGTTTGTCAGTGCCGCTTAGCTCTAAGCAGTGCGGCTCTATCCGGGATGTGTTTGACCCGGCGACTTGATCATTTGCTCAGGTACGGGGTTTTGCCAAAGTCAGCGCGGTCGCAATTCCCCAGTCTCAGCGTTGGGGGGTTCTCAAGCTGCCCTTGTCAGGGCTAGTCGAACGCGGTGAAGGGGCCCTTCGGAAACCACTTGCCCAGGACCTTCTTTGGGGAGAATTCCACGACCATCGCCTTGGGCGGTGCCGAAGTTGAGCAACTCGCTTGCGAGTTGTGCCCAGATAGAGGGGCCCAAGAAGTGGCTGTGGCTTTCTGTTGCTTTCCCTTTCAACCAAACCCGACAGGGGTGCTGATCCTCAAACAAGAGCACCCCCTCATCTGTTTGAATCGGGAGCCAATTTATCGATTGAGCGACAGCCCCCCGCAATGGGAACGGAATTGCCCTGGAATCCCTGCACTTCCTTTCTGGCTGGAACACCACAGGACGGGACAAGCCTTGACAAGACCCAAAACACCACGGGGGTCAGCAAAAAGGTAACGGGACCCAGGAGCAGATGACTTTCCCGGTGAAGACTCCACTGGATGCGAGCGGTGTTGGCTGCCTTGCCAGGGTTCCAGCATTCGTTTTTACATCAGAGTCGTGCAGCTTACGAACTGGCCACTTGTCCAGAAACCACAAGGAAGGACACCCGCAACAAGCGGAAGAAGTTCATGATCTCGGCCTACCAAGATGCGCCGGAAGGACCTAGGAGTCATTTTTTCGACCAGACTGGCATTCCTGAGCCCTGTTCAAAATGAGAGCGTCTGTTCTAAATTGGGGAGAGGGGGTCCAACAGAGGACCCGCTTTTGGCTTTCAATCTGCATTGGATGGATGTCTATGGATTTGAATGTGGCAACCGTCTACCAGCTGCTGAGGGTCCCATGTCTTTGTTTTCGCCTTTTTGACGGAAACTCCAGTGGCTGGCCGTGGCCTTCCCCATGGGTCGCCCCTTGGCGTTTCCCAGCCGTCCCTTCAGGTTTTTAGGTTTGTTGGTTTTGTGTCAGTTTCCACTAAACTGCCAAGAGTTCGACTTCTACAGGGGATCAGAAAACGGACAGCCCGGGTCAGGAAGCTCAAGGGAGACGGCCCCGTCTGACTTCCCGAAGGACAGACGCAGTTCACCGTGAAGTGCCGACTCTTCCAGCGCGGCGACGGTTGGTGCTCGCTGCAAAGCCACCTGACGGCATGTCTCCGGGAAACTAACTAGCAGGGATGCAGGGGGAACTGGGGCCATTATTTTGGTTTCTGGGGGTATCAAAGTCAGAAAATGGGGTTGTTGCCCTTTCAGAACCAGGGATACGGGAGCATTCCCCCTAAACGCACCTTGACTAAGTTTGATATGGGAAATGGCGCCAAGGGAATCCCCCCATATCTCCGCTCCCTCCGTATCCCCGCTGGTTTGTTTGTCCAAATGTCCGACGCGTTCTTATAGGTTGGCTTGGTGACAGCGCCTTTTGACCTTGGTTTAGATGGAAACCAAAGGAAGACCCGCCCCTTCGTGGGGTGCTCCTATTTTGACGCATGCCCAGATTGCACTTTGAACCGGGCAAGAGGGCCCCCTAGTTTGCCAACCATGTAAGCAGCGCATCCCTCCTTGACAGGTGGCTCTACTTCCTGGCTTCTTATGGGTTAAAGACTTAGTGCCTATATGAACCACCTTGAAACCAAGAGTCAAAGCGAAAAGGGCACTGCTCGTGCCCGAGGCTTTGCTGTGCAGCCGGAGGGCACCCTGCGAGAGAGCTGCTTGGCGTGCCAGTTTTCTGCCGCAAAAGACAAGAGGCGCAGTGGTCACAAGAAATTTCCCTTTAAAGACAACCCAAAAGAGCTCTCCCCCGAAACGAGGCACTCATTTGCTTGACAAGTGGTTCACTTTCTTCCATGGTCAGTGAAGCCGTTTTGCTGGATTCTTGGCTCCTTGCACTTTCCTGAAAGCCACACAAGGAGAAAGAAAGAGAGAAAGAGAAAGAAAGAGAGAGAGAGAGAGAGACAGAGACAGAGAGAGAGGGAGAGAGGGAGAGGGAGAGGGAGGGGTAGAGGTGAGGGGGGGGCAAGCTAAGGATACATTCTAAAGCGCCCCGATGCAGATGACATCGTGGTGACTCGCGTTTTTCAGACCTTGGAGCCTGCTAAGCATTGGAAGGCGCAGGACGGGCTTCCAAACTCCCTGCGTTGGTTCTAAGAGCCTGACAGCTTTTGCTTTGCTTTCCTCGCAAGATCTCGCAATTTTTTTTCATGTCTCTTGTTGCATCCTCAAGATTGGCTCGGATGCATTGCAAGGGGGATCGATACCCGAACCTTCGCAGGAGCGGCAAGGTGGCTCGCTGTACAAGCTCACCGGCGCCCCTTGGCGCCGAGTAGCTTGTTTCTGGATTGTAAGGAGACCGAAGGAAATCGTGAGGGCGTTACTTTTTGGGTGTGGATCGGCAACCATGTTGCAAGGTTTCTCTCACAGGTAGAGCCAAGCTCAACAGGATCAATAGGGTCTTCCCCGCTGAACCCAAGCCCGCCCGTTCCCGTGGCAGTGGTTTCGCTAGAAAGGTGAGCCAGAATCATAACTCGGGTATGTGACGGCTATTAAAGGAAGTCCCAATCCATGATAAATGGGCGCGGATGCGAGCCCTTTTGTTTGCATGGTGATGGGTAGACCGCATTAGGTTGCTTTTTTTCAAGCCGAGGGCAACAATATGTTTGACTGCAGCTCGCGTATTGAGGTGGGCTTGTTCGCAGGGCTCGCGGCCGTGTCGGTGTGCTTCTTCAGCGCACGGTGAAAGAAAAGCCGAAACCGCTGCAAGTGCTCCAAGGTAGTTTGTAAGTACATGGAGCGGCTTTCGTGTCAGCTTTAAGCAAGGGGTCAGATTTTCAGTTTGATTGATGCTGGTGTCCATGCAGTACAGGGTGCATTGCTTCCGCCGCGCCAGTTGCGGCTTATCAGCGCGATTCAGACCTTCGATTACATCGGTCTCAAACACGAATGCCATACATCATTTGCCTCTTGCCACTTGCCACCATGAAGCGCTCGAACTCTGATTTGGCCTTTGCGCCGAAGGGCGCACAGCACAAAATCGGCGTGACGTCGGACTTCCTGCATTTCACGGTGAAGACACGTTCTTGGAGTATATTCGGCTTAGGCCTGCAGATGTTCACAATCAACAGCCTGCCTGTTGACCCTTTGGTCTCGTGCCTTGAGCCCCAGACACCCACCGCCCAAAGTTTGGCGGGGACAGTGGCCTTGGGGTCGCGCCTGAGAGGCACGCATCTGAGATTCGATCGGCATCGCTGAATGACCAACCCGCCTAACGGATTCGGGGGTATGTCTTGAAATGGGGAGTCCTCCTTTGGATTGGGTTGCTTTTTGGCGAACCCCAAAGGAAAACCATATGCGGTGCTTCGGAACTGAGAGGCAGCCGTTGAGAGACGACTCCCGGCAGGTGCTTACAATGGCACGAAGGTATTCGGCTCAGGGTGTCGGGGCAGTCGGCAGGGTGCGTTCGCGAGAGGGATTGGGTGTCTGGAAGTCGTAGAAGTTGCTGCAGGTGCGGTTTTATTGTGATCATATTCGAAGCAATGCCCAGGATAATCCTGGTTGTAGCCAGTGTTGTTTTGCTGGCCACATTTTCACATTCAGGGAGCGGTCTCTGGTTTTGCTCCTATTTTCCCAACTTGCTAGACGTATATTTGCAAGGGGAGCCACGCCTGTGGTTTTGACACCAACAACCTTTTGTTGTGGGCTCTTTTCCTCCGCCACGATTTTTTGACCCAAATCGCTGGGGGATCCAACAAGAGCAGGTCGGGCCCGGGTTAGAGCCAGCTCGGTTTGAAGTTGATTAAGGTGATTCAACTCGGTTGAACCCTTCAACCTTTGGGTTGCAAGGGTTCACCCAAACGACCGGACCTATTTAAAAGGATTCCCACGTGATTGATGGGTGTGCCATTCAAGGGAACCTGACCTAGTGCTGAACCAAAACACCTGTTGGTTCCCCTGAAAAAAGGCGGCAGACAGTTTTCTCGTGTCTGGATCTCGCAGATTGCGCCGCCAATCCCACGAATGCCCAAGTCTCTGTGTTTGTGCGAGGCTCAGTACCCTGTTAAAGCAAAACGCCAACCATTTTCTCTCCCCCCCAAAGTGTGAATGCGTGTTTCTGTTTGAGGCTCGGTACTTTTCCAAGGTTGGTTTATGTTGTATATTATGTTGGTTTAGAGTTGGACACGACACCAAATGGAAGCCAACGGTTATTGTTTTATATATTTTGGTCATCCCTCGGTAAACCATAGCCGGCTGAAGCCCAGGAGTCCAGTGGTGATCGACATCGGCTCGGGATGTACCAAGATGGGCTTCGCCGGCAACATCGTGGGCCGCCCAGGTCTAGGGTCCGAAACTTGCACCCAGCACCACCCCCCCCCCCCCAGATCATAGCCGAAAGCCTTTCGAAAGGCACGGGCCGAAGGTTGATTGGACACTGGCCATGTTCTTTTGGGCCGGACTGCCGGACTGAGTTTGGGCTATGTTCTGTGGGGTTCAGACAGAGAAATCCTTGTGTTTGTGTGTTCTGGGGTTCAGAAAAAAGAAGTTGACCCGTAAGGATAAAGACGAATACGACAGCTTCCCCTTTTTTCCGGCTTCCTTTTTTGCCCATGAGCAGGGGAGCCCCTGCGCGCCTGCCCCCATGTCACGAGTCGGGCCGATGGGCCGATGGCCGATGGCCGCGGGCCGGGCCCAGGAGCCGACTTTCATGATCCCCACCGTGGTGGCCAACTCCGCGCGGAAGTCCAACCAAAGCGCGGCTCTCAGAGCGTACCGCGGCCCGGGGGCCCGGATTGGAGAAGAGTCCCGTGGCACAGGCGTGAGAAGTGCGAAGAGGTTCCTAGATGTGAGCCACAAGCAACACCCGGGCAAGTGAAGGTTAGGACGGGATAGTCCCAAGTATAAATGGGTGCAGGTGCCATTTGATTCTTTGCATGGTTCAAGGTAGACCATTGTAGTACCAGGTTTTGATTATGCCTCCTGTGTTCAAACCGGCCAACACACGCCAAGGTGTGCATATTAGTCAGACGCCCTCCGCGCATGGCCTTGCCGATGCAGACTTCTACATCGGGGATGAGGCCGGTCCAGCTTGCCCAGTCCAGTGAGAACAAGGGATACTCATAAGCAGGTCCCTCCTTCCCACTGAGCTATGGGTTGAATCCCATTGGATTTCAGGGAGCAGCCAGGCCCACAGCATGAGTTCTCAACCGAAAAGACCGGGTCCCTTTGGCTCGCGGCTCACGTGCAGGCCTATGCGCGGAAGGCTGGTGCGGGTTTTTGCTTCGCTTTTCTATGCTTTGGATGTCTCATGGCAGGACTCCCCAAACTACCTGTTGTCCTCGCCAGTGTCCAAGGGCAGGCGAGGCACATCTCGGGGTGGCTGGCAGCTGGGGAGTTTTGAGAGACTTGTTTGGGCTGCGTGTTCATGGCAAATCTTCCAAACACACACAGGCAATTTGGTGGCCCTGTTGTGCAATCAGCCAAACCTGGCCAAGCCCTCAATGAGCAGACTCTGGACACGAGCGCGAGTCTTGTTTTGACATGAGTGCGTTGAGCTCGCACAGGATGTTTGACTCTTGTTTCTCGTCGGGATCCGCTACCTTTTTGAACAAGCTTTTGTTTAAGCCGGGGACCTAGGCTTGCTTGTTAGCGTTCCTTGAGTTGTCTCCCTCTCAACCTTTTTTTTGGCTGACCGGTGGACTCGAATAGCCAGGATAGACAACTGGGATGACATGGAGCGCTTCCTACAGCAGGCGCAGCCAGCCATCCCAAACTCATATGCTTGCGTGGCCGGTGGCAACGGCGTGGAATGCCACATGTTGCAAGGCCATCTTCAGAAATCTGCGGTGCATCCCAGAAGAGCATGCCCTCTAGCTGCACTTTTGAGATGGGCTTGCTTGCGCGAAGCATCCAGGCCGAGGATCCAAAAATTGAATGCCAATGCTTTTTGTTTGACGCCTCTGCCGACTTGTCGGGGGACCCCAAATGGGTTCTAACTTTCATGGGTTCCGAAATTCCACACAACTGCGCCAAAGGTCGATGTGTCATCCGTTTTCGGAACCCATTTGATAGAACCCATATTATGGCGGGACCTTTTGTCCCAGATTCCTGAGGACTTTTTGCTGACGGAGCCTCCCTTCAACACCCCGGAGAACCGAGAGCTCATGGCAGAGATGATGCTGCCCGGCGAGCGAGCGGATCGGTTGGATCCGATTCGGTTTGGACCGGAGCTTTGAACCCTTGTAACCACCACGGGGGCAACACCTTGGGAATGGTCGAAGAGCTTGCGACCTAAAGATCCAGCCGGCAAACTTTGGCAAGATGGGATTTCGACCGCTTTGTCGAAATCCCACGGCCAGTCTCCAGATCTTTGTGAAGTGTTCCTTTAGGTCAGTTTTTTTTGAAAGCACTTGGATTCCGGTGGATTCAGCTGGATTGGTGTTTGTCCCTCATCCGGATGCGTGTCGTTTGAATCGAGCTATATTTGGATTAAGGGGGGGTAAGACTGGGACAATCATACCCTGTGTGTTGTTCTGGCTGGTTCTAGCTTTGAGTCAATTGTTGCAGTGGAATTCCAATTCGCCAAGAAAAGGTCGAGAATTCCAATTGGGGGAAAGGGATCGAAGGGAAGCCCATGCAGATCCAAGGTTCGAGACCTTCAACGTGCTTGCCCCGGCTGCGAAACAAACCGATCGAAACGAAGCGCCGGGTTGAGCTCGTCGCGTTGGCTTGAGGTGAATGGCCTCTACATTGGCGTTCAGGCAGTCCTTGCGCTGTACGCTCAATGGGTGACGGCCTTTGTGCAGAAAGACCAGCGCCAGTTGTGCACAGATCAACATCTGAGGTGTGCGATGTGAAACTGGAAATGGATGAGGTCCCATTCTTAGTGCCTGCCAGGCCATGAGCCTGTTTTGTCCTTGCCATCAGACCCTCAAATTATGACTGGGTGGTGACCAATGAAACATCGGAGGGCGCTGCTTGGTTTCCAGCAGAACGCGTTCCCATCGCTTCGCACCAAAAGGGGTTCTTTAGTAGCATGCGATCGAACCGATTGGCTATGAGTTTTAACGTGGGGCAGCCTCGAACAGGAGGTTGGTGGGCACAAACCCCCATTGTAGGTTTCATTTGCACCAAAGCATCCCCACTTAAACACCCTCTAGGGTCCAACCCCCCCAAAAAAAATGTTGACCAAATTTAGATGAACAGCTTAGGTCGACATTTGGTGGTTCTGTCAAAGCCATGGTTTTTTTTATGGTTCGAAAATCCGGGGAGCGCCCCACTTTGGGGGGCCGGAAAATCATTTTTCTTCCGCGGTCGCGTCGCGATCGGAGTGAGGCTAGCAGTCCAAACCTCACCGGCCTCGTGGTGGACTCTGGCGACGGCCGCTTTAGATGCATTCCTTGTATAATATGGGTATGGCTCAAAAATAAACAGGAGGGGAAAAACCGCAGGTTTTGGTCCATGCTTCCACTTACCAGGGTTCCATTTTGGTACCGGTTTTTTGAGCCACAGCCATATGGGTATGGCTCAAAATGAAAAAGCGAGGGTTACGCAGGCTTTCATCTTTGTTTCAAGTTATCAAGGTGCCATTTGGGGTACCGCTTTTTGAGCCAAGGCCATAATATATACATAATATATATATATATATTGTACATTATGTATGCATAATATATGTAAACAGGCAGACGCAGACCCAGACACAGATGAGTCTCAGACACAGACGCAGACAGACAGAGACAGAGAGAGCCAAACAGGGACAGAGACAGAGATATTTACAGAGTCAGACAAAGACGGAGACGTAGACAGAGACAGACACAGACAGACGCAGACAGACACAGACCACCGACACAGACCGACACGGACAGACATAGACAGACACAGACAGGCAGATAGACAGAGAGAGAGAGAGAGACAGACAGACAGAGACAGAGAGAGAGACAGAGACAGAGACAGAGACAGAGACAGAGACAGAGACAGAGACAGAGACAGAGACAGAGACAGAGACAGAGACAGAGACAGAGACAGAGACAGAGACAGAGACAGAGACAGAGACAGAGACAGAGACAGAGACAGAGACAGAGACAGACAGAGAGAGACAGAGACAAGAGACAAGAGACAAGAGACAAGAGACAAGAGACTGAGACAGAGACAGAGACAGAGACAGAGACAGAAAGAAAGACAGGCAGCCAGCCAGACAGACAGTCAGACTCAGACAGGGAGATAGACAGATAGATAAATCTTGTTGGACAAGACTAGACTAGACAGATATCTTTTGCGATTTGAACCGAGGCCTCTCACACGTGATACCAGTGGCAGACGGCTATGTGATCAGCTCCTGCATTCAGGACTGAAACTCAGGGCACAAGCCTGGTCTTGTGTTGTGGGCGGGCATGGTTTTTGGTCACAATACCATTGTTTTTTGATTTACTCTTTTTGGTAGCCTTTCAGGTTGGTTCAAAGGGATATCGGTTTTGGATCTTTGGAATCTATGTGGGGTTCCAAATCCCGATTGTCACACAGGCGCATGTGGAATTTCTTTCGCGGCACGCAGCAGTTTTGCTCAAACTCCTCGTGCCGGATCGACTGCTGCGAAGCTTGGCATGCAATGCCAAGTGAACAACAGTCAAGGACATGTGTGTGTGTGTGTGTATGTGTATGTGTATGTGTATGTGTATGTGTATGTGTATGTGTGTCTGTGTCTGTGTCTGTGTCTGTGTCTGTGTCTGTGTCTGTGTCTGTGTCTGTGTCTGTGTCTGTGTCTGTGTCTGTGTCTGTGTCTGTGTCTGTGTCTGTGTCTGTGTCTGTGTCTGTGTCTGTGTCTGTGTGTGTGTGTTGTGTGCGCCCCCCCCCCGGTCCACGAGCATAGGAGCCCATGATTGAAAGTTTGGGAACCCCATAGGAGGTTCGAGAGCTTTGGGCATGGCCCATGCTTCGCGTGTCTTGTCGACAAAAAGTGTTTCGCCTGTGGTTTCGATTTCGACATGGACTGTGGACCCCCTTTTGGTTGGTATTCGGAAAGCAAAAAGGAACACAACCATTGTATGGAGACCCGTAAGCTCACATTTGCGGTGAAGCTTTCAGAATTGGGTGCCATGCCTTGGAATGCCTGGAATGGAACCAGTGTTTCTCAAAATAGCTGGTTCGACCTTTTGTCTTGCTTCCAAGTCATACCCAAAAGAGGGTCGCTCTGAGTCCCTTCGCGCATTCACCTCATTCCCATTCATTTTCAGCCTCCGTGTTGGAACCCATGAACCATCTCTATTTACACACATATATATATATATATGTATTACCATATATATATATATATACACACCCTGATTTTTTCTGGCAGGCTTCGGTTGTATTTGTTGGCCTCTTTGGGCTTCAGCGGCGCCGACGGCGCCACACCTCACAGCCTCAAAACGCCTTTGCCGCTTTGAGAAGTGATGCGCCCCTCGCACGGAACGCGCGCCGGCGCGCCGAGGATCTTTTTTTGAGCGGATGGCATTCCCTGCGCTGGTGCAGCAGCCGAGACCAGGCACGGAGATGGAGATGTCCTCTTTGACCTCCTTCAAACCACAACCTCCGTTGCTTAAGGGTTTCTTTTTCTTTCTTTCTTAAAAAAGAAAGAGAAAAACACATTGTTGTTTTAAAAATGGAATTCATCACTACTGGACATATTCTTCTATTTTTTCCTGGGGCCCTAGCCAAATGGAAGACAAGTTACGACTTCCTGCTGCTTGACGCTAAAAAAGTAAACATGCGTGGCTCCAAAACCAGATAGGGACTTGGACCAGGTCGCGTGCCCGAAGCCTCGAACATTTGGCACAAAAAAAATATGGCTCCTTTGAGCATCCGACAACGAATTTCATGGGCCAACAGGTCGAACCCCCCACAATCAGGAACAACCACATTGGGATGGATGAAGCCTGATGAGTATTGGTTGATCAACCAATCCCGACTTGGCATGTTTCTTTTTGCTCGCACCGTGACTGGGAGCCTATGGGCTGCTCGACCCACCTTCTCTGAGTTTAGGGCAGACTGATGAAGCAGAAGTCACCCTATCTTTGGACCCTCCATTGGGGCCGGATGGACCTCCATTGGAAGGATTGGCTGAGGAAGGCGCATTTTCAGGTACCGAGATTCTTAGGGCGGAGCCCGGTTCTCCTGGCAAAGCCAGGCGAAAAGCGGCGAGCGCGCTCCGCTCTCCTGGCCACCGTGTTGGTGGCAGCAGGAGCGATTCGAGTCGAGTTCGTGTCCAAGCAGTTCTCACTTGGGGAACGAGGAAAACGAGCTACAGCCACGATGAGATCCCCGATTTCAGTTTTGGACTAGATACACAAAAACAAACCAAAAACAGTGAGGACAAAGTGTGTTTCTTTTTGCGCCCCAGCTAAGGGGACACGCTCAGGATGCCTGGCGTTGACGGAGACGTTTGTGCCGCTCCAGCCAAACCGAAGCTCTTTGCAGGCAAGAGAATGAGAATGGACGTGGCCGGGGGTCTTTTTGAGGGCGCCGTTTTGTTGGGTTTGGGGTCCCATGTGAGGCATGGTTGGCGCATTCTTTGTTGGGTTGTTTCAAAGGGAGGCCTTTTTGGGGTCCCACCCGTGAGGCGCAGCCGCACCGTGCATGCGGTTCAAATACGGCGCTTGTCAAGCTGAAGCACGCCTGGGTTCCCCAAACCTAAGTGTTGCCTTTTCTTCAGCAGCTGCGTTCAGAATGGGAAAGTTAGAGTGGTAGGCATTGGCTTGGCACCGGCCGAAAATTGCCCTTCAGTTTGTGGCTAAGGTTGGGTGTCCAAAAGTTTTGGAGAGGCCAGCCCTGGTTTTAAGCCTTGCGAGACCAGTTGAGCCCCCTTTTCTGGGCGTTTTGGCACGAGGCGCGGACGTCGCGGGGCTTTGAGTCCCAGAAGCCCTCCGCGGCGGACCCGGCGTGCCGCTGGGCAGAACAGCCGCGCCTCAGGGGGAAGCCCGGCGGTCTGAGCAGCGCCGAAACACTTTGGGCTCCTGCTTTCCGCCTGTTTTGGCGGAGATGTGGAGTGTTTTTCGGTGTAGCAGACTGTGGCAGGTGTGGAGATTAATATTATTTTGGTGTTAAATTGCGAGGTTTGATTTGCTTCCTTGGGAGCTTGTCGGATTCATTGGTCTTGACAGGACCGAACATGTCTCAATCAAGTTCAAGCTGTTTGAGTCCATGCATCACAACATGTCAATGGCGCGGCTTTCCGACCCAAAGGGCCATTTGAGCAGCTCTAAAAACCCCCCGTTACATCCCAAGCAAGAGTTGTGTCATAACAAGGCCCCGCGTAAGCAAAACCCTGCACGGCGTAAGCCGGCGTAAGCACTTTTTGGGGCAACATGCTGCGTAAGCACCTGCGTAAGCTCTTCTTCGTGACTGCTTGGTAAGCTTTGTAAGCATGCTCGGAAGAGTTGTTTCACATATGTGCTTATGTGTTTATTGGTGGCTGGTGCTGTTGCAACCTAGTCGAGCTTGGCGACTTGCCCGGACACTTTGGCTGCAGGAAGACGTCTAAGACCCCAGGGGCGCACCAATCGAAAACAAAACCAGCAGAACTTCGAGTGGGAGCTCTCAAAGCTCATTCTAGGTGCTGTTGCAACCTTTACTAGGACAACAAAGGCTTCTGAAACCGCTGATTTAGGAAAACTAAAGGGGCTCGGGCGCGTAAGCTTGCGTAAGCAGGCGCGTAAGGTTCGCGTAACCTTGCTTAGCTCGGCTGCCCGTTTGCCCTCGAGGTGGATGTCGCTGCCGCACAACCCGTTTCTTGACTTGCAGTTTGAACATAACGCCAAGCCGCTGAAACTCGATGAGGGTAGTTCTTCGTCATCTTCTTCCTCAGGATACATCATCTTGAACAGTTCTGGCGGCCGCATGAGAAAAGGAGCCCGCGTAAGCAATTCTTGAGGGGAAACGCTCCAAACGCCCACGCGTAAGCGACGCGCAAGCTCAACATGCTCGCTGTCTGCCGCGTAAGCAAAAACATGGGTCGCGTAAGAAAAGCGCAAGCTCGCGCGTAAGCAACTTGATACGACATAGGGATTCATGGGAGGTTTATAGAGTCGCTCATTTGGCTGTGTGTTACAACTAGGTATTTGGGCAGGAAACCAAGATAGAAACTTCTGGAAGGGTCCCAGGCTTGTTGTCTTCATTCAAGCAGCATCCATTGTTGCTCCTGTTGTCGTTTTCAAAAAAAGAGGCGTTAGGGGGTTCAGTATCCCGGGAGTGAACATAAAGGACGAGCCTTCAGCTTCCGTTGATCTAGGATTTCCACCACCCCCAAACCACTGCTCCGAGGGACAATTATATATATATATATATACATGTTACATAGTGGCTACCAAGCGGTTCTTTACCCGGCAGTGTTTCTTAGAATCGAGGCCTGGTGGGAACAACAATGGGCGTGGTCCTTGCGGTGTTTGGCGGTTACAGCGTACGAGCGGCCAAGAGCACGCGAAGATCCAGAGGCGGGCGCTGGGTTCGTTCAATGTGTCCACTCCAGCAGACAAAGACGCGCCCGTTTCAACTGTTGTTTTCCTTTCAGGGTTGCATGGTTGCATGAAGGGACACCTCAGCAGCCCGCCGTTGGGTTGCCTCGTTTTGAGAGACACTCGAGATTCGGAAAGTGCCTGAGGGTAACCCTGTCTCCAGCAGCAATTCTCTATGTTGAGGTCGGCAAGTGCTTTTCACCATGCAACTGTTGGGCTATAAGTCCACACCATGACGGGTCGGGGTGGAACAGCACCCTGGAGATACAGCCCCACCAAGGTTTGTGCACCTTGTGCCTCACACAGCACCCTCCCTCACGACGCCGCGGCGAAGCTTCGCAGCTTCGAAGCCGCAGGTGGCTTCGATGCAGGGGCGGAGTTGAACATGCCGGAGGGCTGCACAATTGGAGACGACTCCCCGGAGTGCATCAAGTATTGGGCCACTCCCTGCCGCGGCCTCAGCTCCGGGTCTCAGGCGCGCTCAGGTCCTTTGGGGCTTGTTTGAAGCCCAGTGCATGAGGTTTGAAAGGTAGGCCCCGAAAAAAAAAAAAAAAGAAAAAAAAAAAAAAAAAAAAACGGCACCCAAGCATGGAAGTGCATAGGTCCCTTTTGGCTCATACTGGCTACCCTCCCACCCATTCACATGGAACCTGGATCTTCGGGTCCTGGAAGATTTGAAGGGGACCCCCGAACGTCAGGTTCCATGTCGAAAAGGGCGGGAGGGTAGTTATTTTCCTCCCTTGGAACAGGACATGGGGATTTCCATCTTGGGTATTGCCAGCCTTTCGGTTGAAGCCCCATGGCGTAGGCTCCGATCTCACCGTGGGCGTGCTGAAGGACGCTTCGAAGGGTCCTTGAAC